TACAGGCTGTTACCGTGCCGTCTTTTAGTACTTCCTTGTGGTTGGAAGTACTAAAAGGTGGTGCAGTAACAATGGTGCCATAGTGGCACGTGTAGATACACCCACTGTAGCATTAGGAAAAGCTAGTGAAACTCACATAATGGGCAAATGTACAGAACATTAAGAGATGCTGAAGGAGATTCTCTGTTGCATATCTGTCTTGCTTATTTCAAAACCATTGTTAAAACTGAAGTGAGCTATTTGTCTGAATGTTACAAGACAGCTCATGGTGCAGTAGCAGCTGCTAAAAATTGCCAATTCAACACTGGGCTCTAGCTCCCAGAATTGGCAGAAACAGCCCCGTCCACAATTTTGAAGGTCATCATCCCAAAGATGGTATACAGACTCTAGAATGAATGCCCTGGAAGGGAAAATCATTAGTATTAGATTTCATGTGCTTAATTGGGCCCATACAGATATAGATAGATCTGGGATTTACTTAATAGAGGTGTGGCAGGATGCTCCTTATTCCATGGAGGGATGGGGAGCAAGGCATAACTGAAGCCCTGGGCTGGTGGGGAGCCGAGGAAGGAGCAGAGGTGGGGAAGGGAAGACCCCACCCACAGCCACTATCCCCAGCTGACCCAGGTGCAGAGGGACCCCCACAGCTGCTGCTGCCTTGCTCCCAGAGCTATTTCTGCTTTGCCCCAACTGTGGACTGTGGACTGCTGTACTGGATGCCAGGCTCAGCTGGAGACAATGGTTGTGGAGGTGGGTAGATTCCCCCTTCCCGTACCTGCTACCCGCCCCCTGCCTGCACCCCTTTCTCCCCCCAGCTCTGGCTCACTGGCTGGGAAGCAAGCACTAGGAAGAGGAATCTGCCCGCCACTGATGCTATCCCCTGTAAGTCCAGCACCCCATGCAGCTGCTCCTTGTAGCCTCTAGCTGGAGTGGGGCAGGAGCACCTTAGGGGTGACAGCAGTGGCAGGGTTTAGGTTCCACCTTCCAGCACCTGCTCTCTGGCCAGCAGGGATTACAGAGGAAGGGGTGAACAGCAGGGAGCAGGGTCAGGAAAAGGAAACACACCCACCCTGGCAGCTTTCTTTGGCTGAACCCAGCTTCTTGTGCAGTCATTCATGACAGCCCATGGCTGGAGCAGGGCAGGAGAGGTGATGGCAATGACAGAATGGGAATGTGGCCAGATCTATAGGGTGAACTAGGACCAACAATCAGTTGCTAATCAGTCCCAGTCCCCGCACCACACCAGAATCCTGAACTTGTATTATCTCCACGGAGCTGTTGGATGATACCTGAATTCATATTACTTAATATGATCTGGATATACTTCTCCCATGAAAAATCGTAACTGCTATGATACAATTACAATTAGCATGTGTTTTACTGCCTAAGTGCATGGACACTTGCATTTTAAGTGCAGTTAACATGTCCTAAATACAACATGCAATATGAACCATAGTTTTCTGGACTGGCTGCTCATGTTTGGTTTACAAAGGTTGTCACTGTTAGCCCAGAATGATAAAAAGGCTTTCATAATCAGTTTCATATCAGCTTTCCAAAAATATTTATACAAACCTTTACACTAAAATATGCCTCTGGAACTAAAAAGCTATATTGTATTAATTCCAAGTTAAAATAAAGAAGGATGTTAAATTCAGACCATTATTATTCATGCTGCTTTGTGAATTTATTTTTTTTTAATTTTCCACTTGTGCTCCTGCCAGAAGATATCTATTAGACATCAAGCAGCAAGAGTAAAACTTTACCATTTTGTTGCAAACTAGAAAATAATTTACATCACATATTTTACTTACTTTTGTCTTTTTTTTTTTTTTTTTGAAACCACAAACATTCCAGCATCACACTGTAGGAATAAGAATAACAATATAAAGCATAACCTTTTGCATAGTATTAAATGAACAGAGACAGTAAGTTCTTTATTTACAATTATTGTCTAGATAAAAAAATTCATAAAAACAGATGAATGAACATATAGTAATAACCCCTACAAGGATGCTTTGCCAAATGAATGACTGTATTGTTTTCCACAAATCTCATGCTGCTAGGTACAGTATGTAGAGAGCAAGCATTTATATATTGCAGTGAGTTTTAACAAACTGATCATTTTGGGGTTTTTGATCCATTGTTCCTGTCACAGAGAGGTCAAGCAATAAAAGAAAGGAATTGTGATGTACAACTTTTGTAGTTGAAAGGTCATAACTATTCTTTTTTTTAAAAAAAGTCTATCATTTATCATATACATAAAGCACAGTCTCTGCTCACAAAAGCCCAAGTTTTCTATGCATCTCAGTTTATATGCTTAACTCTATATACACAGAATGCAGTATTCATCATTTTTAAACAGTTTTTCAAGTCTGCAAATGGTACCCTATGGTTATTTTGGAGGGGTACTACTACTGGGAAAGTAAAACAAATGAAACGAAGAAAGAATCTGAATAGAGCTTGAAAATAGAAGGCAAATAATCAGTGTTAAGATGCTGAAAATAAATTCTGTTCCAGTACTGACAGATTTTGTTGACAATAGAGTCCAAAGCTAAAGGCTCTTTCCTGTAATTCGATTGGATAACATTTTTTTTTCTGAACACAGTAACCCAAATAGGCCATAGAAACCCAATACATATTATACAGAGGTTAGTCCCTGTATTTACAATGCAAGGAACAATCCTGATGATTTCAATCACTTTGCTGTTAGGAATTAGCTAAATCCAGTTATGTTTTCATGCCAGCTTACTGTTAAGAGAAGGGTAATACTATTTGTTTAACAGAGACTTGTGTAAGCCTTGATAGACCTGCTGTGCATTGAAAAGGTTGGATAAGACAGTGAGCTATATGTTTGAGCCAAAAAACATTCCAGCTTCTACACAAGTCCGGAAGCTGGCAATTCAAGCTGATAGATCTTTACCTGGCTGAATAGTCTTGATGCACCCTGAACATTTTTAGTCATTACAATCTGCAGTTTGACCACGAGTCTAATCCTATTTGCAGAGTTCTCTCACTTGGAATAGTTCTCGTGACTGCAGAGATGCACCCCATTATTAGCCAACTTTAAAATGATAGGCAATGCCACAACAGATCAATTTATCAATCTAGTTTGTGTTTTCCACCACATCTCAGATAATTGATTATGTAATTCAAAATGTCTGTTGCACTGTACAAGTTTATGGAAAAGATCATATGCTGAAAAGTCTTGAAGCAAACTTTGTATTAAATACAAAAGTTATTTATGAAAAATCTGTGACCCACAAAGTGCTTAGCATTCAAGTGGTTGACATAGCAATTATATAAGCTGATAAATTTAATTACCAGGGCTGTTACCATCTTGAAAAAAATTCTCACCTATGATACTGAAGGATTTCAAATAGCTTTCCTTATAGAAAGCTCAATGCTCAGTTAAAATAACATTGTTAATTTCCTACAGTATATTTTTTTACTACAGGAAGACAAGCTTGGTAAGAAAAAAAATCACACAAAGCACATTTCAGTATATACTTCATAAAGTTTCATTCAGATATACATAGTGCAGAAAATTTTATATATATATATGTGTGTGTGCGTGCGTGTTTGTGTGTGTGTTTTAAAAGGTGAAAGCAACAAAACAGTGATTCTCATCCAAAATGTCAACAGCCCATACTTTGCAAATAGTAAGGAAATAAATGTCTAAATTACTAAACAAAAAGAATCAACACAATATATTACAATATTTCAACACTAGTTTGATTTCCATACAGACAAAGCCAAATATAACTTATTTATGAATTGTTATTTATAAACTCAACTGAGTTTTATACAGTATATATTTTTTTTTAATACATTAAGGAAGCCATTGCAATACACTTAAATAATGAAATGGCCTCCATCACTGAGTGTTGCACCAAAACAGATTCAAGCAGTTTGTATTTTTTTTTAAAAAAGAAAGAAAACCTGATCTTTCCAAATTTTAATTTGAAACAAAGGAAGCCTGTTTCACTGCCCTGTGTATAGGATCACAATGCTACATCCAATATGTTATATTTTGGCTTCTTTTGCTATTTGCTAATGGTATCTACATTATTTAACAAAAAGTAACAGGCAAAATCAGAACACATTTGTAATAAAACATCCAGGGTGCAATATTACAGAAGTTTTCAATGAGCTGAGCCATTTTTTACTACTTCGGCAGGAAGTGCTTTCTTAATCCTACAAATAGTTAAAGATATTATCTACAGGTTTGTAAACAAATTACATTCTTTTCTTTAGGACATAAATAAGTTAAAATAGTCAGAGCAATTTGAGCAGAAACAAGGCAACATGCCAACAAAGAAACTTATATATATATATATAATATAGAGAGAGAGAGAGAGAGAGAGAGAGAGAGAGAGAGAGAGAGAGAGAGAGAGAGAGAGAGAGATAGTTAAGTATGTATACATTTATATGTATATATTTCTATATATAGTCTCATAAATGCTTATTAAATTCTTCTGTTCAACTGGTGCAAATCTACTGTGCAAGTTAAGCTTTGCAACTTCAAAAAAGTTATTTAAATTAATCTATACAACTGAGTCCATGCCACACAAGCATTTAAAAAAACTTACAGACCAGTGAATTGGATAAATAACCTCAGAAAGAAGTCCACTGCAGTTCCTGCTTAGGAAAAAAGAGAGGGGAGGGCTTGAAGTGTACAGTACATTCATGCAGGATGTTCTGTTTGTTCGTTTGTTTGTTTTTTCTGCAAGGGAGAAGAAGGTGTATGTAAATCAGCCATTCATTCTTTCCCCAAAGCCACTGTGATTCATTCACTTGTCCTAAAGTGAGTAAGAGTTCAAACAGCTCTTCAGCCAGCAAGGTGTTCATCTCTCTCTCTCTCTCTCTCTCTCTCTCTTTATATATATATATATATATATATATATATATATACATTATATATATATATATATATATATAATGAGAGAGATATTCCTGTTGCTTTTTTTTTTAATTTTATTTTTTTGCAGTGACCTTTTCAGCTAAAGTGATGTCTCCAGACTATGTATTGGGCTTCCTGGACTAGAAGAGGTAGCTGATTTACTTGTGTCAGTTGTAAGATTTATTCCACTGTCGATAGCACTGTTGTTCTTGTTCAGTGACGATGGTGGACTAGAGTTTTGCTTGACAGCAGGGTCTTCTTCTAGGTCTGTGTCATCAATGAGTGGGATGTGGGGTTGGGAATCTTCTATCCTAAATTCAGGATGAGTCATAAAATTGTGAATAGAGGTTCTAGATTCTGGTTTTTCTAATCCTTCATAGAGAGAACTACGGAATGCCTTCACGACGCGGATCTGGGGAGGAAAAAATGAAAGAGACATCAGAGGTGACAGTCTTTACACAATAATGTGCTAGAGAATGCTTTCGAAAAATGTAGCATATGGTTAGGGCAGTGCAGGCAGCTGAAGTCCATAGTCTCTGATGTTATATGCATAAACGAGTGGCTCAGTTTTGTGCATTTTGAGTATCTGTACCAACTGCAATATTAAAATAAATCAAGTTTAAAGCCATCAAAGAACTGATGGGAAGCACTGGTTAAAGAAAGCAAACGTCCACTCATGTGGTACATCCCTAGTAAAAGACAAGCCGTGTTAATTGTATTGCAAATGTATAACCATGCATGTTGATAGTTTTGCAGTGAGTAAGTAAGAAGATTTTTTTAAGTTTCATTTGGATATTAAAAAATATAACATATAACATATCACACTTCTCAAACAGGAAAGCACAAAACACAGACACAATTAGGTGGGTATGTATGAGACACACACAGGAGCCAAATGTAAAATCAGAAAAAATATAAATGTTTTCAAAGCAAAATCTAAATGAAGGCAGCCAGAAGCACAAAAAAGCCAAGCAGACAAAATACTAGGCAAAACCATGCTACCACAGGAAAAAAAGTCACAGTTACTACGTGAACACAGATAACTGGCACACAGCTACACTTGGAAGCCTGGATAATGTGAACATATAACTGTTGATTCAACTTTTAGTTTTCCTTCATGCATATGTGAGGTAAACACTCGAGTATAGACCCACTGTTCTAGCCATTTAATTTGTTTAATATATAAAGAATAGCTATAAAACAATGTATTGTTTGTTGGGTTGCACAGAATTGAGTTACTAAACAGCAAGTTCTCTTATTTTCTGTGTCTCACCTGTGAATACTGTTCCCAAGGTTAAATTCTGAAAACTGTACATTTTATGCCAAATCTGCAGTCCTTATATTATGTCAGCTGAATTATGCCAGGATGACTCTAATGGCCTTTTACCACCAGCTAGGGGAACACAGGTGAAAGTAAGCTACAGAACTTTCAGTGGTAGTGCCACAACGCTCTGCCAGTAAGAAGTGACAGGAGCAGAAGAGAATTGCAGAATAGGGACAATCAGTGTTGTATGGCCATTGGAAGGGAAGGGGTGCTAGTCATAACTTGTTAACCAGTCAGGCAGCTTTGAAAAGAAGTGAAGAGTGCACTACATGCTACTGGTGAGAAAACATCACTTTTTGAGAGGGAAAAGTCAGAGAGGAAAAAACAGAATGGCAAAAATATGATCTCTTGGCAAATGCTTTATGACTAAGATATGAGTTCTACCCTCTCCCCCCGCCCCACCCCAATTTATGAGTGAATTTTTAGCATCTATTTGAGTGACAGACCAATAGCACAAGCAGAGGCAGAAAATATGCAAGCAGGCATTGTGAAAGCTTTACACAAGTTGAAATGAGTTGGTGGTACAGATCTATATCGCTGTCCAATATGTGATTATGCTTTTCATTAGTTGGCCTTCAGAGTAGTCATAAAAGTAAAGACAAGGTTCTTTGGGTGAATCTGGTATCTTTTATTAGACCAACTTAAATAGTTGGAAAACAATTATTAAGCAAGCTTTCGGGTTCAAAAACCCTTCGTCAGGCTAAGGAAGTATCAGCAGTTGGTGTGTGCTCTTCCTGGATGGAATGAAAAGTAAAGAAGCCAGAGGCCGGGCTGGTATGCATACAAGACAGGCAGTCAGTGAAAATGTAGATTGAGGAGTCAATGGGTGAGAGACAGGCTGGGTGGGGCAGGGGCAGGGGAAGAGAGAGAAGGGGGATGAAAGTGGAGAGATACCTGAGGAGTCAGATGTCAGGCAGGTTATAATGTGTCATAAATCCAATGTCTATATTTAGTCCATGATTTTTAGTATCCAGGAGGTTGATGAAGTGGAGTTCATAGGCTCGTCTCTGGGAAGTGTTGGGTAAGTTTCCCTTGAGGATCAGGACTGAGAGATTGGAGAGAGAGTGGTTTTCTTGTGAGAAATGTGCCCCCACCGGTAATTGGGTATTCCTGTCTTTGATAGATTTCCGGTGTGCGTTCATCCTGGTGCACAGTTGTTGTTTGTTTGAGAGACCAAACAACAACTGCGCACCAGAATGATAGATTTCCAGTGTGCCTTCAAAGACAGAAATACCCAATTACCTGTGGGGGCACATTTCTCACAAGAAAACCACTCTCTCTCCAATCTCTCAGTCCTGGTCCTCAAAGGAAACTTACAAAACACTTCCCAGAGACGAGCCTATGAACTCCACTTCATCAACCTCCTGGATACTAAAAATCATGGACTAAATATAGACATTGGATTTATAACCTGCCTGACATCTGACTCTCCAGGTATCTCTCCACTATTCATCCCCCTTCTCTCTCTTCCCCCTCCCCTCCTCCCCAGCCTGTCTCTCACCCATTGACTCCTCAATCTACATTTTCACTGACTACCTGTCTTGTATGCATACCAGCCCAGCTTCTGGCTTCTTTACTTTTCATTCCATCCAGGAAGAGCACACACCAACTGCTGAAACTTCCTTAGCCTGACGAAGGGTTTTTGAACCCGAAAGCTTGCTTAATAATTGTTTTCCAACTATTTAAGTTGGTCTAATAAAAGATATCAGATTCACCCAAAGAACCTTGTCTGCCTATGTCCTTAGACCAACACGGCTACAACCTACACCCCTGTATCATAAAAGTTAAAGCATTTCTTCCTTTAGCTGGCAGAGGTCCATGTTTTAGAAACAGAATTGTCCAATTCCACACTGCATGTGAGTAGTTTAACTGACACTATGTTATCTGAGTTTTAGCGCTCCAACAGAGTCTATAAGAAAACAATAGTGTTGGGAAAAGACTTCACTTTAATTGGAAGCTGATTTTAATTTGCTGTCTCCCACCTCTTTTCTTATTTATTCCCCCCATGTTGTTTATTCTTACATCCTGTCATCATGATGAGAATGATGGCCATTTGACATTAGATAGCCCTCATTCAGCCCAAGTATTTTCCATTTCTTGGAAATGCACATAATAAGACTAGAAAAGAAAGCCCCAATTAGATTGCTCATTTCCTTGCTGAGACCATACGTTTTAGAAGTGAGGGAGACAAAGAATTGGTTGAGTAGGACAAAACAGCCTAAGCAGGTTAAGGGATGCAAGGGGAACTGATACTCCAGGTGGCTGGTGGAAGTGGAGGAGCAAAACATAGAAGCAGAACTTCAGGAGTGAGAGTGGGTAGCCTGAGTTGCTTGAATATTATGTATGATGAAACAGGCTCACAAAACCTGATATGAAGAGTTCCTGGTATTACAAAACTCAGCTTTATGTGACTCAAGACTTCCTGAATTGTCCTGTGGTACTTGGTTGTTTTTAATATGTACAGACAAAAACTAAAATAGGACCTTCATTTGCACCTTTAAAAACAGGATTCAAATTCACACTATATTTCCAGAATAGAAAAGCTGGGGTAGTCATTTCCTAAATTTATTTAGGCCCTTCCAACATTTATTAAAGTGCAAATTTCAATAGCCATTGTGTAACAATAATCAATAATATTTTTGCAAGGTGATCCTTAAATTGGAGCAATCTGGAAAATAATTTTAAACTGTAAATGTAATAAATTGTACAGTATGAATGCTTAAACATTTTTTAAGCATTCCTACTGTACACGGTGAGTTGTTATGGTGGTGGTGGCTTTCTAAAATGTGATTTATCATTTCTTCCATACTTTCTTGATACAAAATGCTATCTTAATAAAAAAACTCTTTTTATCACTTAGCACTTAGTTAGCATCTCAATGTATTTGATCTATTTGTGTAAAAATTCACTTTCATTCCCTTTAGCACAGCCAATTCTTATCTCAAAGATTTAGGTTCTAATGTGCCAGGTGGATTTTGTTAAAGGTGAATTACATTTTTACTCAAATAAAAGGTCTTACAGTTTCAAATTGTATTTAAATTGATTCTTCAGAATCTACTTAGCTACAACTTTTATTGAGGTCATAGTAACCTGTCCTTAAGTCTGTATGCTAAGCAAAGGAGTAAGATCTTTAAGTAGGCAGAACTCCCACTTAGCTCATTGGCAGTCCTGTCTGACTAAAGCCTGCAGGAGGTGGCAGAGGAGGGGCAAACAAAATAGGATAGACTGTATATATAGATTTTAAATACAGTATTCCCAAACTTAAATCTATATTTAGGCTAGAATCTCAATTGAATTTATGCTTGACTGTGAACTGTTGAAATATAGCTTGGTATTTCAAAGTTACCTCTCTCTTTACTTGGCTGTAAAGAGTTAAGTTCAGTGTTTACTCCACTGAGGTTGATATAGCAAATACACACAGCATTTCAGGAAAATGCAATTCCCTACTTACTGTTAGATATTGATGGCATAAGTAGGAAAAAATGCAAAACACTCTACTCATATGCAGGCACCTTTTTGTAACAATAGGCATGTTCACACTGTAGTTGAGAGGTGTGATAGTAGCAAACAATGCAGACCTGACTTAGCTTTAATCTAGCCATGTTTGGTACCAATACCAATGAAAACCCACTGATCAGTATGACTATACAAGTCCTCTTGGTACCTTAAGTATTTTTTTGGATAATAGGAAATCAGGAACATTTTCTGATTGAAAAAATATATAGTTCCTTTCTGAAAAATGAATTTAGCCTCTTAGTGTTCTGTACCTCTCTCTCAATGACTTATTGTTCACATAGAACAACATGGTTTGGGATCTTTTTCATAATTTTTTTGTTATCAGTCCTGCAGATTCAGGTTGGGACCTGAAATGTAACACTTCTTCTTTCTAGCTTGACTTATTGTCCCCAGTAAAAAAAAATCCTGTAGCAGAAATGTCATTCTAAAGTATGTTAAAAATCTACCACAGAGGGCACATCTACACATGTAATTAATGTACCTGAATAAACTCTGGAACAATATGTGCCAGAGTTTATTGCTTCTGGGTGCAGTCTTTACATGCGCACCTGGGACCACAACAGGTTGAGTCA